CACTCTTTCTGATAACATACATAGGAGGGTGTCCTTACTGAAATTTTTCAATAAAAACAAACTTGAATTTTTCCGTTATGGTAGAAATTTCTGATTCGGAGAAAAAAGATTGCTGCTTTTCCACCTTTTCTGTTTCCCTTCTTAATAAAAGGACAATCATCTGTATTCTCATGAGATTCCTTATAACTCTAGGGGAAAACCTCTGCGGACTCCACCTGAGAGTTACCCACCACGTGGGCTAATGAGACTTTGTCCAGTTCAACCAAACAAGAAGGAGGCGCCATCAGAGCAAGGAGAGCTGTGGGAGTTAAGCTACAGCTTGCTGCGACAAGAAAAATAGTGAACCTCTGTAGCAGACGCAGCACGACATGACGAGCGCGTGCGTTGAGCTGACGCGAACGCGTCATCGTCGAGACGCGGACGAACTCCGACGAGCGCGAGCTGACGAAGGAGAAAGGAGCAGAAGCTTCGAGCGACAGAATCAATGGTGATCGCCATTCGAAACATTCGAAACCCTAGCAGAGCAGTCACCCGCCATCGTGCTAGACATATATTGCTGCGGCAGGAAAAACAATGAACCTCTGTCGCAGACGAAACACGACGTGACGATCGCGAGCGTCGAGCAGACACAAATGCGTCATCGTCGAGACACGGACAAACGCCGATGAGCGCGCGCCCGAGAGCCGACGAAGGAGAAAGGAGCGGAAGCTTCGAGCGACAGAATCAATGGCAATCACCATTCGAAACATTCGAAACCCTAGCAGAGCAGTCGCCCGCCATCTTGCTCGACATATATATATATATATATATATATAGTGCTGCATTCATCAACTCTTTGGTTGACATCTGCTATGTCGGTTCTAAGTCTCTTGGGGTCGGGGGTTCGATCCCGCTGGTGTGCAGATCATTCGAGTGGTTAGACGCATGAGGTTGGCTGGGGGCTCGTATCATAGCCTCCGACCAATCTTTATATATATATATATATATAAAAAAAAAAAAAAAAAAAAAAAAAAAAAAAAATTTAAATATATATATATATATATATATGTATGTATTCAAATTTAAATCTTTAAGTAACTACTTACTCCTTTTGTAATTTCAAAGCATCATTGCTATTTTTTTTTTTTTTTTGAAAGCTCAAAAAGACTAATATATTAAATAGAAAGAAAGATATAGATACAATGTGTGGGAGGGCCCAAACACCCTACCCACACAAAAATCACAAATGGTTCCAAAACTAAAAAAAAAAAGAAAAATACATTAGATAAATAAAAAATCTAAGAGTTCTGAAATATATAGTATCCGGTGCCGAAATAATAGCATCATT